AATTAATAAAACATATTTTAATTAATTATTTTTTTAGTCCTGTGATATAAAGTGTTTCAAAAATAGCTGTAATAATAATCGAAAACTTAAAGTAATATTTTCTTTTTTTTTGGGCATTTTGTATACAACAAATTAGTTGTATAATTGGTTGCCTAACACGACGACAAATCAACAAAACTTTTAACAAAAAATTGAATTTTGGTCAATTTAACAATGAATAAGCACTAATAAATAAAAAATACTCTCTTATCAAACCTTATCAATTATTACTTAAATCGGTATGGATTATGTAAATTATGGATTAAAAAACGGTTTTTTAATAAAAAAGTAGAATAAAAAAAAACTAATAAAGTAAAAAATAGTAAAAGTAAAAACTTATTTTTTTTAAACACTGTTTATTACAAAAAATGTATAATTGGTTGCGTAACACAAATCGAAAAAAAAATTAATTCAACAAAAAATTGAATTCTTATCTTTCACAATGAATAAGCAATTATAAAAAACATACTTTCATTACATTTTATCTTATTTTAGATTATTTTATCGTTTAATTAGTATGGATTACGTCACTTATGGATTACGATCAGTTTTTTTGACACATCTGAAAACATTTTAAGGTTATGTTGCAGACTTTTATTTTTTGCCTTGTTTAAGCCCAAATAGTGCAAAATGTCGTTTTTCTACCACCCTGTGTTATAAAACATTCATTGTTAGGGCTCCTCGTCGCTTGACCACCCCCACAGTAAGCCCCCTTGAGTGTGAAAATTTTGTTTGCAAAGTAATCAAATTGTTTACGTTGTCAGCAGTTTTGTTTATAAAATGATGCTAAAATTGCATAATTTTCATCCTAACATTGAGGTAATTTTCCCAGATGTCTCGCGAAGTCAACTACGACCGCAAATACCAGGAGGACTTGGAGCGGGCCCAAGCCCTAAGTCTGGAGTCCCTCGCCTTGGAACAGTTCAAAAATAAACGCCTGCAAGAGCTCAATAGTAAAAACGTCTCAGGTGAGCCCCCATGTGCCCCCAACTGTCTCCAAATAACCGCAGTTGTAGTCTCAAGGGCCTCATCAATGAACGCAACCGCCAACCCGCGCCCCCGTCCCGGCCCCTCCGCCGCCACCTCCCCTTCCACCCTCCTCGCACCGCCGCCCCGCAAAACCTCCGCACACGACAGCCCCGATCTGATTTCGTTCGCCAACCCCCCGACCACCACGTACCCCCATGTGGGGTGGGTGACACCCCAGATGTGGTACCGCCCCCCGGCGCTGCCCCCCAAGAACCAGCACCGGCCCCCGCCCCCGAGACCCACAGTGCGCCCCCATGATCTCATCAATTTGGCCCACGAAGACACCAATAGTGTCCGGGTTAGCATTTTGCAGGAATTTGACCCGATTTTATCCTCCGGGGAATACCCGGATTTGAGGACGGTAAGTCCGGATTTTGCCGATGATGGCGCTTCGGTCTACGACGATTACGACCCCTATGATATCTACACGGGCTCGGGGAATAACAGTATGTGTGATCCGGTGTATGCTAAGACAGCCCCCCAGTCGCCGCCCCCGTTGCCCCCACGGGGGTATCTCACCGATAAGTTGAACCTTTTGGATGGGATTGTACGAGTGGGTGAAAAAAATGCACAAAGGGATTCGGATTTGAAGGGATTTTATAATATGGTCAAGAGTGTGAGGGGGAAGTACCGATTTAATGATCCTGATACTAATATGGGATTGGTGATAAGTCCCATGGTTGATTATGAATACAAGGATGGGACGAGTATTAAATTGTGTGTTTACCCCGATTTCGAGGGGGCTGATATCAATAAACCGATCAATTTTACCTGCGATGGTGAGTCACATACTGTATTTTTTTTTACAAATTCTGAAATTCTGAAAAAAAATCTGGTGCTACCGATTTTTACCAATTGTTTCGTGCTACGTCCGCCCCTACATACCAAAATCAAGTAGGATAAGGAATGTAAAAATTACTCGAGGCGTATATAATATTTTTCTAGGCACTAAAGCTGAAACTTGGACTTTTAATAGAAAAAATGATTAATAAAAAAATACAAGAGAAAAAAGAAAAAAACTAAAAAACAAAATACTTACTTTTATAATATGAACTGAAAAAAAAATAAAATCACAAAAAATTTAGCAAAAGAAGCAAAAATTAGGCATCTAGAGAAATGAGTCACAATACAAAATTTAATTAGAAAGGTTAAGATTTTGACAGTTTATCAAATTTTGACAGTAAAGAAAATTAATTACCGTTTATTCTTGAAAAAATATTTTTTTTATATTGTAAATAAATAAAAATTTTAATTACTTTAATTTTTTTTGGCGACAAATCTAAGACGTGTTTTGATTGGTTGGTTTTAAAAACCGTAATTGATTGAAAGGTTAAAATTTTGACAGTTTGTCAAATTATGACAGTAAAGAAATTTAATTAACGTTTATTCTTGAAAAAATAATTTTTTATATTGGAAATACAATAAAAATTTTGATTATTTTAATTTTTCTTGTCGAAAAATCTAAGACGTGTTCTGATTGGTTGGTTTTAAAAATCGTAATTGATTGAAAGGTTAAAATTTTGACAGTTTGTCAAATTATGACAAGTAAAGAAATTTAATTAACGTTTATTCTTGATAAAATAATTTTTTATAATGGAAATAAAATAAAAATTTTGATTATTTTAATTTTTCTTGTCGAAAAATCTAAGACGTGTTCTGATTGGTTGGTTTTAAAAGTCGTAATTGATTGGCTAACAATCGAGCAATGACACTCAACGTATTGAAAATTTTTTAACTTTTTATTCGCCCTGTGGGGTTGGCTCCACCCATTATGCAAAATTAGATCCAATTAAAATAAGATAACTCACACTAAACCCTGATTTGTTCAAATAATTCGAATAATTATTCAGGATTTTTTAAGTGGGTGGAGTTACTTATCGTTGCTAGGTTTTTTGTCGGATTTCGGCCAATAAGAAATAAAAACCGGTTTGTTCTCACGTTAGTGGCAATTACGTGAATGCGAAATGATTATTATTGGCCCTTGTAATTGGACTAAATGTGTCAAACCAATCATATTTAAGATTTTGTAAAAATCTCACCGATTGGCCATAAAAAAACTGTTTTAATTCAATTCAATTTTGCTTTGAAAAAAATGCAAAAATAATGAATTTAAATTGATTTTTTCTAATTGGCCACGAAAAATTAAAGTTAGACAAGGGAAAATTTCGTAGATTTTTTTCTCAGTGAGCGTCAAAAAAAAAACCGCAAATTACGGTTTTCATATGACTTGAAAAATGATAAATTTAAATTTGTTTCCTCAATTGGCTTTGAAAAATCAATCTTTTTCCCAGTTTAGTACCGAAAAATTGCGAACCTATTTGTATTAAAAATTGTGTTTTCAGTTGGCGATAAAAAATTACTGTTACCAACAAATTAACTAATAACTATAAGAGAGAGAGAGAGAGAGAGCAAATAAGAGCGCAAAGCATAATAAGAAAGAGAGAGCGCATATGAGCATAACAGTATGAGAGCTTTTTTATCATAAAAAGGAGCACAAATTTTTAAATATTTTTCAAGCCAAAAACGTTTTTTTTTTATTTAATAAACAATTTGAAATTAAATAGTTGTAAATCTTTTTGTTTTAATTTTAATCAACTGATACAATACAGGGTGTTAAAACAAGCTTGTAAAATGATACAATCGACGAGTCATTTTTTATACAGGGTGTTAAAAAAAGATTGTAAAATGCTACAATCATTTTTAAACACCTTGTATGTAAAATAATCGTCGTATTTGTTGAATTTTCTCGTTTTCAGTTAATTGCAGCATCGAACACGTGACTTTACAACTGACTTGCGACCTCGACGCCCCTTCTAAAGACAAATACACCCTTAAAGTGTGGGGTTGTAATGAGTACCTCGTCCCCACCACATTTCTATCAGACTATGAGTACGTCCATAATTGCATCAAACTCGAAGAAGACATTCTTTTAACCCTAATACCCGATTCTAAAGTCGATAAGTCATTCGCACGAACGGTTAGTCGGTTATCATTATTATTATTATTATTACTAACCGCCGGTTATAGCTCCAGGATGATAACCGTGACCGTGATTTGACCTACGAAGATGTCATACCCAATGACAGTACCATTCATTTGACATATGACAATCTAGTGATCCTTTTGGAAACAGTTGAAAATGAAATGAGGAAATTGGAAGAGGCGGCTTTGCAAATCGAAAAATGCAACAGCCCTTTGACAATGCCGGCCCTTCAACCCTTGAAGGTCATCCAATCGGCGAAATGCGTCATCAACCTTATGGGTAATCTAAGCACACTTGATCTAACATCGGCCGTTGATGATTTACAGAGGATCACGACGAGTCGACCACTTCAATCGCCGTTTAACGACGCGATTTCGAGTACTTGTAATCGAATCCGATTAGCGATTCAGAATCTCATTGAAATGTACTCGCAAGCGTTTAAAGTCGACTTTGAGGTGAAGAAAAACGTGACAAATGAACGTTAGTAAAAAAAAAATTTTTTGGTACACAATAGTTGCATACTGAATTTTTTCTAGCTGTGAAATACGTATCCGATATAATGGAATCGTTGGTGATTCGTGTTTGTGCGATTTATCGGCCGAATGTCGAATGGAAGCATGATTCGTTTATGGTCGCTGCCCAGATATACCATGGTACTAGACCCATGGGTCATCCTGTTTTGTCACAACCTTGTGTTAAAACCGAGGGGGATCATAGATGGCCGGCGAGGATTATTATCGATCATTGGTTTGATATGATGGATGTGCCCATAAGTGCCCTTGCGAGAGAATCAAGACTGAAACTTGTCATTTATGGACGTACCATTGAACCATCAGATGATGCCCAGAATGAACCCAAATATAACCAAGAGGAAATCGGATGGGCGAGTGTACAATTCTTCACATACGATGGGTGAGTATCCAGAAACTTTTATTTTTTTTAAGGCACTAGGTGTAAAATTTAAGGTTCTTGGTGTGAAAGTAAGGCACCAAATGTAAATTATAGGTTTTCTTTAAAAAACCATAAAAAAATTAGAAAAAAAATAAATTTGGCTTAAGGTTCTAAATGTAACATTTAAGGTTCCGTGTGTAAAACTTGTTAATTTTTTTAAAAATTAATAAAAACTTACGTTTTCGTTTATTAATTTATACATATATTTTTACTTAAGGCATCAAATGTAAACTTTAAGGTTCTCAGTGTAAAACTAAGGCACCAGACGTAAATTATATATTTTTTTAATATGAAGGTAACTAAAAATAATAACGTTATGAATAAATTTAAAAATAAGTTAAAATTTTGCTTAAGGTTCTAAATGTAACATTTAAGGTACTGTGTGTAAAACTTGTGCAGTTGCCTTAAAACCAATAAAACAAATGATGTTTTCGTTTTTTTTAATACACATGTTTTTAATTAAGGCACCAAATGTAAATTCTAGGTTTGTTAAAAAAACTAATAAATAATAAATAAAAATGATGAAAAAAATGGATAATGATGAAAAAAACTAAAAAAAGAGAGTGAAAAATAATATATTTTATTTAAGGTTCTGAATGTAACATTTAAGGCACCGCATGTAAAACTTGTTCATTTGCTTAAAAATGAATAAAACACATTACGTTTTTGTTTTTTTTAATACACATGTTTTTATTTAAGGCACCAAATGTAATTTTTTTATGATGATAAAAAGTGGTGAAAATAATAAATAATGATGAAAAAAACTTAAAAACAGCCAAAAATAATTAAAATGATAATTTTTATTTAAGGTTTTTAATGTAAAATTTAAGGCCACGCTCAATTGCTTAAAACGAATAAAAAATACGTTTTTGTTGTTTTAAGTAAAACTTGAGAGATTTATTAAGATTGGTTAAAACTTGAAATAAATTGTTTTTTTTTTGTTAAACACGTCAATTTTTGTGTGGCACCGAATGTAAAACTTGAGGTTCTCGGTGTAACATTAAGGCGCTTTGTGTCAAAAACAAAAAATTAATATTCTAGGTGTTAAATTTAAAGGCGACCAGAAAAAATAGTTTCTATACTAAAATAGTTTGTATACTTAAGACACCGAATGTAAATTTTAGGTTTTCTTAAAAAATAAGTGATGAAAATAAAGTTTACAAGATGAAAGAACAGCGAAAAATAATAAAAATACCAAATTTGATTTAAGGTTCTGAATGTAACATTTAAGGCACCAAATGTAAAATTAAGGCACTCGATGTAAAATTTAAAAAAACACCAAAAAATAAACACTAAAACTTATTTCAACCTTAGAACCATGGTTCAAGGCAACGTCATTCTATCAATATGGCCGCCCGATTCGCAATTCCTCCATGGAGCACCACCAGCATTTGGTACCCATCCCACACCCGATCATCCAATGATGGACATCCAAATCGCAGGTGGCCAACCCAAAACCGAATTCCCGAAGGTGCCACCCGATCTGATACGAAACGTCGTCAAAGGCGACTTTCAAAGTTTAGATCGTTCAACCCAACAACAACTTGTCGATATTTGTGAACAAGATATGTTATGTAAACTACCACCACAATTACGTGAAGTACTATGGGAGAAACGTCACTATTTGTACCATATACCACAAGCACTACCAAAAGTACTACTCGCCGCCCATAGTTGGGAATATGCCTTTTTGCCCGACCTACACGGCATGTTATATGCCTGGCAACCCTTACCACCGATCCAAGCCCTTCAATTGTTACTACCAACGTAAATAAAAAAAATCTAGGGTTATTATTATTATTATTATTATTTTTTTATTTAGTTTCCCAGATCTAGAGGTCCGTAAAATGGCAATTCGCTGGATCAACGGCTTAACCAACGACGAATTGGTTGACTTTTTGCCCCAATTGGTTGTAGCCCTCCGTCACGAGACCTATGAGAATTCGCCACTTGCTCAATTCCTATTGGACCGTTCATTACGCTCGCCCCGATTGGCCCACCACCTCTTCTGGTTGCTAAGTCACGCCCTTCCCGGTTCCAACCCACAAAATTTCACACCGGAATTATGCGATGAGATCACAGTCGCCGAGGTGCGTCATCATCGTCGTATGAAACTCATGTTGAGGGCCCTATTGGCGATTTGTGGTGATTCGCTTCGCAATTGTTTTCTATCACAACAACTACTCGTCAAAGATTTGAATGATTTAGCTGAAACTGTGAAAAAAACAAAAGAATCACAGCGAACACAAGTTTTATATAATCGTTTGCGATTGGTCGATGCGAATCTTGCTGATAATCCGACGAGTTTGCCTTTAAGTCCAACATTGAGAGTTACAGGAGTTGAGATTAAATCGTGTTTTTATTTTCCCTCGAATACTTTACCATTGAAGATTAGTTTTGTTGATGGACGAGGGACTGTAATACCGGCGATTTATAAAGTAGGCGATGATTTGCAACAAGATATGTTGACGTTGCAAATGGTGAGATTGATGGATAAGTTGTGGTTGAATAAAGGGTTGGATTTGAAGATGGTGGCGTTTGTTTGTGTGCCCACCGGGAAAAAGAAAGGTATGAAATTTTACACACACTTGACTTAACTCTCAATGAATATCTGTACCAAATTTGGTTCCAATATCTCAACTAGTTTCCGAGATATCGGAAACATACATTCTAAGGTATATAATCGAAGAGTGCCATGGTTAAGGTTGAAATTTGGCACAGACGTCACTTCATCTCTAATTAGCAATAGTATCAAATTTGGTTCCAAAATCTCAACTAGTTTCCGAGATATGCACAAATATATGTATAGTGTATAATTGAAGTTGGTCATGGTTTAGGTTGAAATTTTGCACAGACGTTACTTTACCCGTAATTAGCAATGGTACCAAATTTGAATCCAATATCTCAACTAGTTTCTGAAATATTGAAAAATATACCTTTTAGGGCATATAATCGAAGACTGCTATGGTTTACTTTGAAACTTCGTATACACGTGATTTTTCCCCTATTTAACAATAGTACCAAATTTGTTTCCAACATCTCAATTAGTTTCTGAGATATCGAAAATTTTATCTAGGGTATATAATCAAGATTGCCATGGTTAAGGTTGAAATTTTACACAGACGTCATTTTATCTCTAATTAGCATTAGTACCAAATTTGGTCCCAAAATCTCAACTAGTTTCTGAGATATCGATACATCTATCAAGGGTATATAATTGAAGGTGGTCATAGTTTAGGGTGAAACTTTGCATAGACGTGACTTTTCCCCTATTTAGCAATAGTACCAAATTTGGTTCTAATATCACAATTAGTTTCTGAGATATCGAAAATTTTATCTAGGGTATTTAATCAAGATTGCCATGGTTAAGGTTGAAATTTTGCACATACGCGACTCTACCCCTTATTAGCAATAGTACCAAATTTGAATTCAAAATCTCAATTAGCTTCTGAGATATAGAAAATTTTATCTAGGGTATATAATCAAGATTGCCATGGTTAAGGTTGAAATTTTACACAGACGTCATTTTATCTCTAATTAGCATTAGTACCAAATTTGGTCCCAAAATCTCAACTATTTTCTGATACATCTATCAAGGGTTTATAATTGAAGATGACCATGGTTTAGGTTGAAATTTTGCACATACGTGACTCTACCCCTTATTAGCAATAGTACCAAATTTGAATTCAATATCTCAACTAGTTTCTGAAATATTGAAAAATATACCTAATAGAGTATATAATCCAAGATTGCTATGGTTTAGTTTGAAACTTCGCATAGACGTGACTTTGCCTCTATTTAGCAATAGTGCCAAGTTTGGTTCTAATACCTCAATTAGTTCTAATTCCTCAATTAGTTTCTGAGATATCGAAAATTTTACTTAGGATATATAATCGAAGATGGCTATGGTTTAGGTTGAAATTTTGCACAGACCTGACTTTACCCTTAATTAACATTAGTACCAAATTTGATTCCAATATCTCAACTAGTTTCTGAGATATGGGAAAACATACATTCTAGAGTATTTAATCGAAGATTGCTATGGTTAAGATTGAAATTTCGCAAAGATGTCACTTTATCCCTAATTAATATTAGTACCAAATTTGGTTAAAAAAATTTAACTACTTTCTGAGATATCGACAAATATATCTAGGGTATATAAATGAAGATGACCATTGTTTAGGTTGAAATTTTGCACAGACCTGACTTTACCCTTAATTAACAGTAGTACCAAATTTGGTTCCAATATCTCAACTATTTTCTGAGATATTGGAAAACAAACATTCGAAGATATATAATCGAAGATTGCCATGGTTAACGTTGAAATTTTACACAGACGTCACTTCACCTCTAATTAGCATTAGTACCAAATTTGGTTTCAAAATCTCAACTATTTTCTGAGATATCGATAAGTATATCTAGGGTATATAATCGAAGATGGCTATGGTTTTGACTGAAATTTGGCACAGACGTGACTTTACCCCTCCTTAACATTATTACCAAATTTGGTTCAAATATCTCAACTAATAAGGAAGTTATGAGTCGTATACAATATTTTTTCTAGGCATGATCGAAATGGTGACGAAAGCTGAAACTTTGCGTAAAATCCAAGTCGAACACGGTTTAACCGGTTCATTTAAGGATAAACCGATCGCCGAATGGTTGGCCAAACACAATCCCTCCGAATTGGAGTATCAGAGGGCTGTGGAAAATTTCACAGCCTCCTGTGCCGGTTATTGTGTCGTAACTTATATTTTAGGTATATGTGATCGACACAACGATAATATCATGTTGAAAACTTCCGGTCATTTATTTCACATCGATTTTGGGAAATTTCTTGGCGATGCTCAAATGTTTGGAAATTTTAAACGGTTTGTGTTTAAATTTATTTAGAAAAAATGTATGTGATTGTGTTTTGTTTCAGAGACCGTGCCCCTTTTGTCTTGACCTCTGACATGGCTTATGTAATCAACGGTGGCGACCGTCCATCGGAAAAATTCCATAAATTCGTCGATTTGTGCTGCCAAGCCTTTAACATAATCCGAGACAACGCCAACTTGTTTCTTTACTTATTCACACTTGTGAGTATGGAAATTGTTTCAAATCGCGATATCTCTGAAACGGTTGCACCGATAAGTATGGAATTTGGTACAGTTGTTCCCCAAACCAGTCTACTTGATTGTCCCAAGTTTCATTCTTAACGCTTCAGCCGTTTCAAAGATATAGCGATTTTTTTGAAACGTGCAATTTCCATACTTTTATTTTTTAGATGGCGTCGTCTGGAATTTGTGGTATGACACCTGAATCGGTGATATATTTGCATAAAGCTCTACTTCCACATATGTCAAATCCGGAAGCCGCCGCCTACTTTGCACGTTTGATTGAAAGTTCACTCAAATCGTGGTTCACTCAATTCAATTTTTTCTTGCACAATTTGGCACAAATGAAATTTGGGAGTGATCATGATCAAGGTTCATTGTTGTCGTTTGTACCTAAAAGGTACAGTATGGCAACTGATGGTAAATTGGTACATGTCCAAGTTGTCAGTTATAAGAAACGTTATGATCCTGATAAATATTATGTTTATGTTTTGAGAGTGACAAGAGAAGGTGATAAGAGTGATATGGAGATACATAGGACCTATAAGGAGTTTTGCGAATTGCATCAAAAATTGTGTATTTATTTTCCCTTGGCCAAGTTACACAGGTGAGATGATAATAATAATATTAGTCTTATTAAAAAAAAATAAAAATATTTTTATCTGAAGAGTGTGTAATCGGTTACATGATTCTGATGACAAACAAAAGATAAGAATGAGAAATGTTTTTGTATTTGTCGAGTGATTAAAAGTTTAAGCTTTTTATCTAAATCCACGAAACAATGCGATTTGTAATTTCATAAAACTTACAAAATTCACAGAAAGACAAAAAAAAACATAAAAACTTTACTCGAGGTTTCAAATGTAATTTTTAAGGCACCGTGTGTAAAACTACAAAAAATTGTCAAAAACGAGTTACTTTTGGTCGGTTTTTTAAAAATACATCAAAATTTACTTAAGGCACCAAATGTAAAATTTGGGCACTAGATGTTAAAATGCTATATCCGATGTTTTCGATGAAGAAATTACAAATTTAACAAGAATTATTATTTGGAACATGTTTGCAAAATTAAGGTTGCCCGTGTACTTAAGGCACTGGGTGTAAACCCATTATTTTTTAAATTAATAAAACAAATTATTTTGTTTTTGTTGAAAAATCGCGATTTTTATATTTAAAAACGAATTACATTTGGTGGGTCAAAATACATCAAAATTTACTTAAAGTACTAAATATAAAATTTGGTTTACTTTAGGCACCAAATGTAAAATTTGAGCACTCGATGTAAAAATGCTATATCCGAAGTTTTCGTTCAAATTAAGAAAAATCATTACTTGGAACAGAGAAAATATCAAAATTTTTCTCGAGGTTCCAAATGGAACTTTTAAGGCACCGTGTGTAAAACAACTAAAAATTATCAAAAACGAATTACATTTGGTGGGTTTTTCAAAAGTACATGAAAATTCACTTAAGGCACCAAATGTAAAATTTAGGCACTCGATGTAAAAATGCTATATATGAAGTTTTTTTATGAAGAAATTACAAATTTAACAAAAATTATTATTTGTCTGCAAAATTAAGGTTACGCGTGTACTTAAGGCACCAAGTGTAAATTAAGGCACTGGGTCGTCATTCGTCATTTTTTTCAAATTAATAAAACAAATTATTTCGTTTTGGTTGAAAAATCAACAATTTTTATTTAAGGCACCAAATGTAAAATTTGGGCACTTGATGTAAAAATGGTATGTCTAAAGTTTTTAATTGATTTAACAAAAATTATTATTTGGGGCATGTTTGTAAAGTTAAGGTTGCGCGGTACTTAAGGCACCAAGTGTAAATTTAAGGCACTGGATGTAAACCCGTAATTTTCTCCAATTAATCAAACAAATTATTTCGTTTTGGTTGAAAAATCAACGATTTTTATTTAAGGCACCAAATGTAAAATTAAGGCACTTGATGTAAAAATTGAAACTATACTAAGCACTCGCACTACTCCCATCTGACAGTTCTTCATCTTCATCATCATCATCTTCATCATCAAAAACCACATTTCTTGGTCTTGTAACAATTGGTTCTTCATCACCACCGAAGAAAATACTCGTCGCTGCACTACTATAGTCCATAGGACTGAAATCCGGTTCTTGGTCGACATAACTTTCATCATCCGACGAATTATCGACATTATTATTATTATTACTTTGGGCAAAATGTATGGTAAAATTACCATCATCGTCATCAACATCGCTCATCTCAGGAGGCGGCGGTGGTGGTTGTTTAGGAGGTGATCTATCCTCAACCTTAAGGTTTCGGGGAGCCGCTTGTGGCTTCGCCGCAACTTTCTCAAAAACGGGGAAAAGATCTGATTCCTCGTCGACATTTTGGGCACCAAATGTAATTTCTTTTTGGGCTCCGTGTGTAAAATTTAAGGTTGAGTCAAAAACGGGCAAACTTTGGGCACCAAGTGTAAGTGTGTCATCTTGTTCATGTGTAATATTTAAGGTTGTGTTTGTCAATGAAGGCTCCGACTTTGCAAAACTTAAGGTTCCGGATGTAATTTCTAAATTTTGGGTTCCGTGTGTCAAATTAAATGTTTCATTTGTCAATGACGGCTCCGACTTGGCAAAACTTGAGGTTCCCGATGTAATTTCTAAATTTTGGGTTCCGTGTGTCCAATTTAAGGTTTCATTTGTCAATGACGGCTCCGATTTGGCAAAACTTAAAGTTCCGGATGTAATTTCGTTGTGTCGTTCTAAATTTTGGGTTTCGTGTGTAACATTTAAGGTTGTGTTTGTCAGTGATGGTTCAGACGTGGAAAAACTTGAGGTTGCGGGTGTAAAACCATTGGTAAGTTGATTTTTTCCTTCTATACGTTGGAAAACGTCGATTTTTGTGGGTTTTTTCCGCACACTGTCATCACTAGACGAGGGCAAATCGCCTAAAATCCTTCATGAATGATCTAATCACTTTCACCAGTGATTTACTTACTTTCGAATTCGGAAAATGTCTTAAATTTAACACCAACAACTATACTATTATCGATTTTTCGTGTTTTTTTGGGTCCTCCGATCAGTTTCGCTTTAAAACCGCCTAGAAGACCCATTTTTGTGATTTTTGCACACGGAAAATCGATAAGATAAGATTGACATTTTTGCGATTATCTTCTAGTTTAAATAACACACTAAAATTAAGAAAATTATTTAAGGCTCTGATTACAAAACGTAAACAAGGCTTTATTTGTAACATTTAAGGCATAAACAAGTAAAATTGTCATTCGTGACACTATTTGCCCAGTTTAAGGCTTCATTTACAAAATTAATTGCATTTGTCAAATTTAAGGCACGATTTACAATAATTGTAATGTCATATGTGGATTTTTTTATAAATTAGTGACCTAATGGCTAGTTTTTGTAAACTTTAAGGCCCAGTTTGCCGAATTTAGAGCTTCAATGTTTTAAAGTTAAGGCACAATTTACAACAATTAAGGTTTTATTAATATTTACTCGTTTTAGAGACATTGTAATTTAAATCAAGGCTGTTTACAAAAGTTTAAGGTTCAGTTTACAAGTTCAAGACTCCACTTTACAAATTTTGTGAGATTTTAACACACTACGATATTTTCAATTAACAAAGATTCGTTTATGCAATTAGTTTAGGCACTACTTACAAACCGCAATTTTTGTCTTTATTGTTTTAAGGTTCTCTTTACAAATTAACGAACGTTTTTACAAAAGTTTCAGACATATTCCAACTTTAAGGTTCAGTTTACAAATTTAAGGCTCCTCTTTGAGATTTTAATACATTACGATATTTTCAATCAACAATCAAAGATTCGTTTATCCAATTTAAGGCACTACTTACAAACCGCAATTTTTGTTTTTATTTATTTAAGGTTCTCTTTACAAATTTACTAACATTTTTACAAAAGTTTCAAGCATAGATTCCAAATTTAAGGTTCAGTTTACAAAATTAAGGCTCTACTTTACAAATTGTGTGAGATTTTAACACTGCGATATTTTCAATCAACAATCAAAGATTTAATTATCCAATTTAAGGCACTACAATTTTTGTCTTTATTTATTTAAGGTTCTCTTTACAAATTTACGAACGTTTAATTTTCATATGAAAATTGTACAAAATATTTTTTAAATTTCAAATATTAAAAATTTTAAGGCACCATTTACAAATTTAACGCTATATATGATATTAGGTCGTTTCGAGTCAGAATGTTGTCAAATTAAAGGTTTTTTTTACGAAACGAAAGCACAGTTTCCAAATTTTTGTTCCAAATTGTAAAATCTAAGGTATAGTTTACAAATCTAAGGCACCAGTTGCAATTTTTACGATATTTTCCAGCAATCAAAGGAGCGTTTTACGTAATTTGAGCCACTCTTTCATCTTGAGGTCTGGTTTTTGAGGTATTAATCTAAGGTTTGTTTTACCCAATTTAAGGCACTTTTTGTCTTAATTCAAATATTAAGGCACGATTTAACAACCCATGTATGGGTTTAGGGTTGCAAATTGTAAAATTTAAGGTTTAGTTTACAAATTCAAAGGTCGTTTCGAGTCAAATTAAAGGTTTTTTTTACAAAACGAAGGCAATGTTGTCAAATTTTAAGGCACAGTTTACAAAAAAAAAAATTGAAATTAAAAAATCTTGTAGTTTGACAACTGGTCTCCACGTGGGCCGTTCAAACATCAAACAAGTGGCCGAAAAAAGGTACCAAGAGGTCAGTTCTTTCATAACATCGTTATTCAAGTGTGCTGATGAGATCGCCCACTCTGATCTAGTCTATACTTTCTTTCATCCGCTATTAAGGGACCAGAAAAGTCCGGAGGATTACGCCCGAAAAAAAGGTAAAGACGAGGCAAAATCCGAGCTATTTCCCACACTATATTTTCTCCCCAGACCGGAAATCCTCACGAAACCAAGTCGGACGGTTAAAAGGACAGCTGAAACTGTCCTTCCAATTTTCGAAGGGTGTTTTCCGGGTCATGGTATACCATGTCCGTGATCTACCATTACTGACCAATGGGCAAGAACCATCAACTTATGTCAAAGTGTATCTCAGACCTGATACTTGTAAAGAAACCAAACGGAAAACAAAGGTTGTGAAAAAAAATTGTCATCCGAGTTTTGTCGAAATGGTGAGTTGTAATTAGTAGAAAAAAAAATTGTATGTCACTCGTGCGTTTTTTTTTTTTTTAGTTGGAGTATCGGATGGCGTTTGAAGTGATACGTGAAAAGAGTCTCCAAGCCACAGTTTGGAATTACGATGCGTTACAAGAAAACGAATATCTAGGCGGCGTTGAATTACAATTGAGCAATTTTGATTTAACCAAAGAGACCATCGAATGGTACCCATTGGTCAATCTGAGTAGATAGCAATTGTTTTAATGAGATTTAACGGTTTTATTTATTGTATTTATACCAAAGTTATATGAAATATAGCATTCCTTGATGTATTTACTGATCATATCATAGTGCATTTCAATTTTTGTAATTTGTCTACAATAAACAGATTTCTATAATAAAAGTAGTTTTTTTTAAAACTAAAAAAAAGTTTGCTAAGTAGTAGAAAAAAAATATGGTGTAAACAATTTTTTGCGTGTTTTGGGTCAAGGTTGGGGTTCTTTAAACTCTTGAGGTTCAACACACCCAAGAAAGTACCATTCTGGTTGCAAACGCGTGGGTAAAATACCGATTGGGTTTCAAGGACGCGAGAATTGCCCTTATCTTGTAGGTTGTAGAAAAAAATTAATAAACTGATAAAATTAGATTCGAGTAGACTTATAAATAAATGTTGTTTTTAATTGGATGACGTAATCGTGAATGAGTAATTAGTAATTAGATCATGTCTAAGACACCGTTGTAAATTTTTATTACAAGAAGGGATTAATAAATTGATCAAATTTAAGTAGCAATTTCCTTTATTTGACTTATTTAGGGCCAGTATTAGATAAGGGACAAAATTCAAGGCTTCACTTTATTATCTAGTTTATAGCGAAATTTTGCATATTTTAGGGCATCCTTTACAAATTGTAAGGCTCTGTTTACAAAACGTAGGCAAGGCTTTATTTGTAACATTTAAGGCACAGACAAGTAAAATTGTGATTTATGACACTATTTGCCCAGTTTAAGGTTCATTTACAAAATTAATTGGATTAATTGAAGTTTTATTAATATTTATCAGGTTTAGAGACATCTCAATTTAAACCAAGGCTGTTTTTACAAAAATTTAAGGCATAGATTCCAAGTTTAAGGTTTAGTTTACAAGTTCAAGGCTCCACTTTAAAAATTGTGTGAGATTTTAACACACTACAATATTTTCAATCAACAATCAAAGATTTGTGTATCCAATTTAAGGCACCACTTACAAACCACAATTTTTGTCTTTATTTATTTAAGGTTTTCTTTACAAACGTTTTTACAAACGTTTCAGGCATAGATTCCAACTTTAAGGTTCCGTTTACAAGTTCAAGGCTCCACTTTACAAATTGTGTGATATTTTAACACACTACGATATTTTCAGTCAAATATTTATTTATCCAATTTAAGGCATCATTTACAAACCGTAATTTTTGTCTTTATTTATTTAAAGTTTTCTTTACAAAACGAACGTTTTATTTTCATATGTAAATTTTAAAAAATAATGAAGACTTCAAATATTTCTAAAAAATTTTAAGGCACCATTTACAAGTTAAATGCTATATATGATATAAGATCGTTTCAGGACAGAATGTTGTTAAAGAAAAGGTTTGTTTAACGAAACTCAGGGACAATTTTTAAATTTTTGTTCAAATTAGTAAAATTTAAGGCACAGTTTACAAATCTTAAATCTCCAGCTGCAATTTTTGCGATATCTTCCAGCAATCAAAGGAGCGTTTTACGCAATTTGAGCCACTCTTTAATTTTTTGGACTTTTAATCTAAGGTTTGTTTTACCCAATTTAAGGCTCTTTTTCCACATTTAAGGTTTCATTTACGAGTTTTAAGGTACAACAAACGAAAATAGAAAATTTTATTTTGTCAGAGAAAAGATACAATTTACTAATTTAGGGTAAAGTTTACACAATCTAACATCCAACTTGACAAAATTTAAGGTTTTAAATAAGGTTCGGGAACGATTTGGATTGTTTTTATAAAATTCGAGTTCATTTTTTAGGATTGAAGCCTTTTTACTTTCTTATGCAAAATTAAGGTTTTGTTTACAACTTTTAAAGTCGTATTTATTTTTTTCATAAGTAAGGCACAATTTTCCAAATTATTTACACCGTTTCAGGAAAATTTCTGTAGAAATTTTGAAAACCTCACCTTGGATGATTTTTACGATTACTTCTAAATAGTATTATTTGTAAAATTTAAGGCACTCATTACATATGTTGTACAATTTATGAATGTAAGACTCCAGGAATTGAATTTCAGAACTGATTTTTTCGTTGAAAACCAAGGCACCATTTACAATTTTAAGGCTTTGTTTGCGCGTTTAAAGGCACACTTTGCTGACATTTAAGAGAGGTTCGGCAAAAAATGTTTAATAGTTCTTTAACACCCATGTATGAGTTTAGGGTTGCACATTGTAAAATTTAAGGTACAGTTTACAAATCTGCAATTTTCGCGACATTTTCCAGCAATCAAATTCTTTCATTTTTTTGGACTATTAATCTAAGGTTTGTTTTACCCAACTTAAGGGACTTTTTCCACACTGTCTTTTTAATCTGAAATCAATTATTGAGGCACGATTCAACAACCCATGTATGAGTTTAGGGTTACAAATTGTAAAATTTAAGGTACAGTTTACAAATCTAAGTTTCCAGTTGCAATTTTCGCGATATTTTTCATCAATCAAAGGAGCATTTTAAGCAATTAATCTAAGGTTTGGTTTACCCAATTTAAGGCATTTTTTACACGCTCCATTTTAACCTCAATTCAAATAATTGGACACGATTTATCACCCCAAGTGTAGGGAAAATTGTAAAATTTAAGGTTCAGTTTACAAATTTAAGGTTCCACTGTGGTAGTTTTCAACAATTTGAGTCAGTCTTGCATATTTTCGCTTCGAGTCACTTTCTTATCGTCTCCTTTGCCCGGAAATGGCCCTAAATTCCACCCCCTTCCCAAACCTCTCGAATTTTAACCTTGACTCTTACCGAAAAGTCATTAAACCATTGCGATTTTCAGCCCGATTCCGAAAACTCAGCAATTAGCAACGACTTTGTAATGCGCAGGACCGCCACAATCCTCACTACCGCTCACTTCCACCGCATATTCAAACTCCTTTCAGATCTCGTTTCCGTCGTTGTCTCACGCGTGCATCGTTCAATTTTCGTCAAAAAAACCGGTAAACCCAACCCTAAAACCGCCCCCACAACCCCAAACCTCGCATTCGACCGGCTTGAAAAAGGGGCGTGTTGCCCCACGAGTGTCATGACCATATGGGAATTGGTGCAGTGAGTGCGACCTAAAACCAGATCGAAAAAAAAAAACAATAAAAAAAAATGGAAGTGTTTCCGACTCTGATTGGCCCAAATGACGACTTCAAAGAGCTATGGGAGGCTGATTTGGACCCGGTGAGTAGTGTGTAAGGTCAGGGGAGGCAAATTATGCGTTTTAAGGTTTAAGGCACCAAATGTAATTTTAAGGCACCAAATGTAATTTTAAGGCACCCGATGTAAAATCACATTATTCACGCCATATGTCATTTCAGGCTCAGCCGGCTTGATTGATAGCGAAAATCAATCACATTTCGTAAAAATTTATCGCTTTGCACACACCTAATCCATATTTTTGTTTGTTATCGCTCGTGGGCCGGCTTGAGTGAAAATTGTGGCCCCTGTGATTACGTAATTATCGTCGCATACATGTAAATCGGTGATTGGTCGAGTGAAATCCGCCTTTCTCTCAATATCTCATCCTCCTTTCGCCAACCCCAAGGTCATTTCAACCCTTTGGGTTTTGTACCACATCAATGCCAAGGTCGCGATGAAAGGTAAAATAACGCAAAGGTCGTTTACACCAAAGTACTGTTAGTTATGCGGCGCGAGGAAAGGAAAAAATCGCAGGCGGCTGAGATTTTGGGTTAAGTCACAGGTAAATTGATTTCGAGTTAGCTAAGTCTGGATTGGGCGTTGACCTCATTGGTCAAGCCCAAAACGCAAAAATGAAAATTTCGGGGCGTTTTATCAACGACTTGGAGTAAACTTTAACCTTAAGGTTGCGTAATAGCGGGTTTTAATTATCGATAAGGTTCGACCACTTTCACTAAGGACCGAAAATGTCATTTTTTGAGGTGTGGTGGGTTTTTGGAATTACTTGAATTTCCGGAATTTTACATGGAAAGTTTTGAAGAATTACCAGAGTCCGGGTACGCAGAAATCAAACTATTTTTAATTCAAATGTAAATACAGACACTTACGGATAAACAAATCTTTTACCGGTTTTTTACGAGATTAGATGATGTTTTTTTCGGAATTGTAAAACGAAAACAATAACCGGAATCGGGTCAAAGTGACCTGCTTTACCGGCTTGGGTGCGGTCTCATTTCAAAATTTTCTTATTTTGTAAAACCTTAGAAATTAAGGCCAGTTTTTATCAAGTTGAAGCTCTAAATTCTCCTTTTGCAAAATTAAAACAACATTCAAGGTTTCGTTTACAGGTTTTAAGGCACAATTTAGGAAATTTTGAATTTTCGAAATGGATTCAGGGACTATTTTAGACCATTTTTGGGTGATTTTCACACTTTTTACTTCAAAAATTTGTTGTATGTAAGATTTAAAGTTTCATTTTTATTTTACTTCATTTAAGGTTTTCTTTTATTAAAGATAAGGTACAATTTATTAATTTAGGGTACAGTTTAACAAAATTTAAGGTTCCAAAGAAGGTTCAGGGACAATTTGGATTATTTTTATAAAATTCAAGATTGAGCCTTTTTTACTTAAAAAAAATTACCTTTTTGCTAATTTTAAGGCACCATTTACAATTTCTCTTGCAAAATTAAGGTACCATTTACAAATTTAATGTTTTGTTTCCAACGTTGAAGGTCGTACTTACATAAGTTAAAATGATTTTAAAAATTAATTTTATCATAAGTAAGGCACAGTTTCCAAATTGTGGTGCCGTTTACACAATGTTCGATTCGGGAAAATTTGTGTTGAAAACCTCACAATGATTTTTACAATATTTTAATTAAATTTTTACGATTACCTCAAAATAGTATTATTTGTAAAATTTTAGGCACTTTATACACATTTAAGGTTTCATTTACGAGTTTTAAGGTACAAGAAACAAAAATTGAAAATTTTCTTTTGTCAGAAATAAGACATAATTTACTAATTTAGAGTAAGTACAGTTTCCACAATTTAACGCCAAATTTATCAAAATTTAAGGTTTTAAATAAGGTTCAGAGGAACAATTTGCATTGTTTTTATAAAATTCAAGTTAATTTCTCTAGATTGAGGAATTTTTTACTACCTTTTTACTAATTTTAAGGCACCTTTTAGAATTTCTTCTGTAAAATTAAGGTATCATTTACAAAATTAAGGTTTTGTTTACAACTTTTAAGGTCGTATTTACAAAAGTTAAAATGATGTGAAAAATTAATTTTGTCATAAGTAAGACTATTTTCGAAATTGTAGTGCCGTTTACACAATGTAATGTTTGATAAACAAAAAGAGAAAATATTATTTTATCAGAGATAAGATACAATTTACTAATTTAGGATAAAGTTTACACAATCTAAACAAAATTTAAGGTTTCAAATAAGGTTCAGGAACGATTTAGATTGTTTTTATAAAATTCGAGTTAATTTTTTTGGGATTAAGAACTTTTCACTTCAAAAAATTTTCGTTTTCACAAACATTTAAAATTTCTCTTGCAAAATTAAGGTTTTGTTTACAACTTTTAAAGTCGTATTTAATTTTTTCGTAAGTAAGGCACAATTTTCCAAATTATTTACATTTTTGTAGAAATTTTGAAAACCTCACAAAACCTTGGATGATTTTTACGATTACCTCAAAATAGTATTATTTGTAAAATTTAAGGCACTCATTACATATGTTGTACAAATTATGAATGTGATACATTTATGACGTTTTGCGTCTAACAAGTGTTTTTTTACTACTTTCGTACGAAAACCAAGGCACCATTTACAATTTTAAGGCTTTGTTTGCGCGTTAAAAGGCACACTTTTCTGACATTTAAGAGAGGTTCTGCGAAAAATGTTTAATAATTCTTAAGGTTTAAGGTTTTTTTCGAAGTTTTAAGGCGCCTTTTTGTATAATTTAAGGTTTAGAGGTTTTGATTTTGCTATGAAAAGTTTTGGGCACCATTTACAATCTGTGGGTTCCAAGATTTACTTTTTTGCAAATTTTAAGGTTTTATTAATAAATCTTTCTAGAAAGTATTTTTCGTGTCGGTATCTCTCCAAATGAGTTTATTATCAAGGAAACAACCAATCGACTCGTCTCTCAACCTTATCGTTATCGCCATCCTGTCCCAATTCCTCCCGAAAATAACCCACTTTAAGTGCCACTTTTCCATTTCGAATTCCTTTAATTTCACGCCAAATCTTCGCCATTTAACTCGACCGGAAGAAGATAACCACCGGAAATTCACGACAAAAGAATGAAATGGAAGAAAAAAATTATTAAGTAGGCCATTTAGGCAATATTTAAATCGCAAACTAAGCGATTTTTTTTCCTTGTCTAGTCAAGTGTAACGAACGCTTGAATCGACAATTTTTTTTTCTTCATTTCGGAGACGGAAACAAGTTGAATGACCTGAAACCACTTGATTAACACTTATTAACGCCTCCGGACGATTTATTGACAGGTGGATTACCGGACATTTCCGGTAATGTCCGGAAATGGAGGCAGGAAGTCGATAAGATACTTTAATTGGTCGAAGATGGCCGAGAGTTGAGACACAATATGCTATTGTTTCGCGCAACCGTACTTCCGACATGTTTGCTTTTTCACAGCCCACTTGGATTCACATGTTGATGATTTTAAGGCACCATTTACAGAAAATTCTATTTCTTCATATCTCGAAAGACTAAATTTAAGGCACTTTTTACAAGTTACTAAAATTCCTGATTTTCACATTTTTTGACATTTGGTATTTAAGGCACCATTTACAAACTTACATGATCCAGAAATGTGAAAGTTTGCCTTGAAAAGCTGAAATTTTCTAACATGAAGTTTTTATTCACACTTGTACCAAATCTATTTACACGTTTTTAGGCACATTTTTCTAAAATTTAAGGTTATCATTTTTCTTAAGGCTCCGTTTACAAATTTTAATGCACTATTTTAAAAAAATAAACTATTTTTGAATGTTTGAATTTAAGAAAAATTTTCATTAAACGTCAAAGGTTAATCACATTTGAGAACCTAAGGCACACTTTACAAAATTAAGGCTCGTTTTACAAGTTTTAGGTTTATTTGTAATAAGGATTTGTATGAAATTTGACTTTTGACTCAATATATTTAGAAACTAATAATTGCTGAAAAAGGGTAAAATTTAAGGCAACATTTACAAACGTTTCATTAATTTTTAGGCACACTTTCCCAAATTTTAAGGTTTTTTTCAATTTATTTTAAATTCTAGTAATTTTCTTATCAAACCAAGGCAAATATGTAGTTTTTCACATGCAAAACTGAAGGCACAATTTACAAATTTAAGGTTTTTGTCAAATTTTTTGCAAACTAAGGTTTTATTTTGCCATTTTAAGTACATTGTTTCTAAAGATTAATATAAAATTAAGGTTGTGTTCACAAATTTTAAGGCACCATTTACAAATATATGAATTTGAGACTAATCTTTCCATACGGTTATCATATTTGAGAATCTAAGGCACAGTTTACAAATTTAAGGTTTTCATCAAATAATTTACATTTTAAGGTATATTTTCACTGATTTGTGTTTATTTTTTCTAAAGTTTAAGGTACTTTTAATATAAAATTAAGGTCTTGTTTACAAATTTTAAGTTACAGTTTACTAATTTAAGGTTTTTGTCAATTAATTTACATTTTGTGGTATAATTTCACTAATTTGAGTTCATTTTTTTTAAGATTTAGCTACATTCAATAAAAAATTAAGGTCTTCTTTACAAATTTTAAGGCACAGTTTAAAAATTTACGGTTTTGGTGAAACTATCTATTAATGTGGTATTATTTTATCAGTTTGAGAACATTTTTTGTTATTCTTTCGACATGTATTTTAAGGTTTTGTTTAGAAATTTTAAGGCACCATTTACAATAAACGTATTTTTGAATATATGAATTTGAGATAGTTTCTTCATACGCTCTCATATTTATTACATATTGATTTAATATTAAGGTATTATTCACCAATTTGAGTGCATTCTTTTTAAAGTTTAAGGTACAGTTTACAAATTTAAGGTTTTGGTCATACTATTTATGTAATGAGGTAATATTTTACCAGTTTCAGTGCATTTTTTGTGATTCTTTAAGAAAAATTTTAAGGTCCTGTTTACCAATTTTAAGGCATCATTCATACAAAACTTATTTTTGGTTATATGAATTACTTTTTTCATACGGAAATCTTATTA